ACTCAAATGCAGAACTGATAGCAGGCAGCTGCTTAAAATTTTTTTAAATAATGTCTCATTTCCTACCAGGATAAAGTCCAACTTTTTTGCATGTCATGCAAAGCCCTTCACTGTGTGGCCTCCTTCTGTCTTGCCAGAATTCATTTCCCATTAATACTTGGTTCTTTGAACCATTCCCAGGCTACACTCGTGTCTTCATCCGTTTGCCTTTGTTTTTCTTTGTGTGCACACCCTTTCCACTTTAAAGTGTTTTTGCTTATGTGTCATGTCATACCAAGAAGGCCCCATAAAATTGTACTAGGCATGTCTGCAGCTGTATTCCCTACCTGTTCTCCTCTTTTGGCTCCATGGACATTCTTGCTCCTTTTCTATAGAGACAAGCTCCTTTTCATTTAAGGCTCCTATACAGTTCTCTTCCCTCTGCCTGAAATTCTTTTATTCTCATTCTTCATCTATAGAATTCCTGGAAATCCTTCAGGTCTCAGTTGTCAGGTCAACTTCCTTAGGGAATCTTCCCCTAGTCCCAAGATTACATTAGGATATTTCCCTGTTAAATGATTGCATACCATTCTGTAATTTTCTTATGGAAATTATCCTCCAGTTGTAATTATGGAGCCTTTTGAGTATTAATTCACTGACTGTTTTCCTTGGTAGAGTTTAAATTCTATGAGATCAAGGACTGTGGTTCTTGTTCGTTACTCTAACCTCAGTATCTTTCTACCACAGTGCCTGGTGCACAGTAGGTGCTTAATAAATATTTGAATGAATGAATGAAAAAAACAAACAAACAAAGGCTTCCCTGATGCCCCTAGAAGTGCACTGGCCATTTCCTCCTAAAACTTCTCTCAGTATTTTATGTCCTGTATTTCTCTGTTAGAAGATGTGCTCTGCATCTGAGTTCTGTGAGAAGCAGGGCCATTGGTCTTACTTTTGTATCTCCACATGTTGGAGACTTTAATTAATGTTGTTCATTATGAGAATCCTAGTTCATTTTATACCTATCTCTACCCTTATACGCCTTCACTACCCCTATCAATAGGGGGAGTATATTTAAATTTTTTTAAAAAAATGTTAATTTATAAATTTTGAAGCATATTTGAAAAGTAGTGGGAGAATGTAGTGAACCTACAAGTACCCATACAAAACATCAACAGTAATCAACGTTTTGTCTTTTTGTTTGGTTTATTCCTTAGGGTGAGTTTTTTTTTTGTTTTTGTTTTTTAAATTCTAAGGTGTCTTGTTTTTTATTAGAAGTACTGCATCTGTTGCTATGCTCTAAAACATTGGCATGGCAGGTATGCTCATCATAATACCCTCTAAGAAATATACATTAAACACTTACTATACACAAATTGCTGGTTTGTTAAGGTCCATTTTTTTTTTTAGCAGGCTTTGTTGGACTTACGAGCTTGTATTATTTTATTCTCTTATAGAAAAAAATATTTTAATACTTTTTCTGAACAAATGCCAAAAATAATTTTGTGATAATGGAAGTAAGGCAAGTGATTTAATGTACAGAATTTCATTTTACTGGCCCTTTCCCCCTGCAACCATGTTTGTATTACTTAAGTCACTGTATTTTTTAAAAATTATTTTTTACTGAGGTATAATTTACACATCATAAAATTCACTCATTTTAAGTGTGTGGCTCAGTACTTTTCAGTAACTTTACAAAGTCATATAACCATCACCACAATCTAAGGGTTTTTCTTTTATAATTTTTTTTAAATGGTAAATTACAGTATTTCAAAGAATAAATAATTTAAATAATAATTCCAACATTGAAGATGTTATTAAATTACCACATATGACTAATAGCTATCATATTGGACAGAAGGGCTCTGGAAAGTAGACAGATAGGAAAATAAGCAAATAAAAACACTCAAAAATATTAGTGTATAGATGAAGATCAATTTAGAAGATGAAAAAAAAAGAATAAATAATTGGACATTTTTTGATCTCTTCAAAATCCCAGTTAGAAGCCCCCTCCCTTATCCTTGCCTTATTAATATGTTCTTAGTGGCATTTCATTTGGTGGTACTGGTGGCACATTCAAACAGGACACTTGCATCTGAGTGAGCAGCCGGAGCAATAAGAAAGATGACAACTCTGTTGCTTTATGCAGATTGGCTGGACCACTCTGGTGCTGGCTTGGTGGCAGAGGGAACAAGCAGGAAGTAGAGGAGGAAATGAGATGTGTGCGGAGTGGGAAGAGAGGACAGATTGAGGAGGGGAGGGAAAGTGGAAGACAAGGCAGACATAGTGGGACAGCCCTCGTAGTTCTAGGAAGATGTGAAAAACGCTGTATTTTCTGAGTGAGAGCTTATTTGTTAAAACCCGAAAACAGAAAAAAAAATGCCACCTGGGCCAGTTTACAGGAGTACTTTGGGCTTCCTTGTGTGTTCATCTTTCTCTTTTGTATGTAATGTTTTGCCCCTTCTTTCTGTTTGAGTTTTAATTTTCTCACCTTCCCTGGTGGGTGCTTCCTCAGGCTGTGGTGTAATGTTACATGGTGTGGCTGAGTGAGCTAATATATTAGGGTGTTTCTGGAGCTTTCAGAGCACATAGGGGAGGAGGCATTGTTTGCCTTAGGGAGCGTCTATTCAAAAGGTCCTTAAACAGTGAATGATTCACTGGTTGTAAGCAGAAATAGGGAAGTAGAATTCCGAACTGCAGGTAAAGTTCAGATACTATATCAGCCCGTGGCCATTGCCATCAAAAAGGAGAAGCTGAATCATGACTTCCACTGTCATTTTAGCTTTATAGCAGGAGTTTCTTTAGGCTGTCAGAGTTATGGCTCACTGGTGTATGCTTCCGGTTTTCTCAAAAAATGTGCTTGATTTTAATGCCAACGCAGAAAGTTATCCCCTGCTGCCTAAGGCATTTTGCCCTATTTTAGCAATTGGAATCTAGCTTATGAAACAAGTGGTGAAAAAAAAGTATCTTAAAGTCTTCATGGCAGAGTGGCACTAAGTGGATGTATTTTTCATCTCTCTGTCTCATGGAACTGTTCTTTGAATACTTACAGATGATATTTCAATAATATGGAGAAATGGCAGAGTAAGAGCTTTAAAACTTTTGTTGAATGAACGAATGCGTGAGTAGAATGAATGATACCTGGTGGATGTGACTAAGTGTGGTCCTTTGTTTCAGTTATTTTGAAGTTTTAATCAGCCATTGTTTGAGTAAAAAGGTGGAAAATCCCATAAACATTTCTGTCCTACTTTTTTTTCCCCGTCTTCCAAGTACTGCCATTTCTCACCACCCAGAAAATCAAATTGTCTAAAATGTGAACATGAGCTCTGTTTGGCACACAGTAAGTGCTCAGTATACATACATGGTCAGGTTGGCTTAAGGGGAACCTGAAATGAGAGTTACTGGCCATTTTATTGACTATGCCCTTCTATTCCTTCTATTATTTTCACAATCCCTTAAGAGTTTTACTTGCTTGATAGAAACTTTTTCTTCCACATTGGCAAGTATTATAAGGAGTAAGAGAATGGAATGGACATATCTGTAAATAGACTTTGGGATTGCTTCTTAAGCCCCTGCTTTGAAACTGAAATGCCTACAATTAAAAAAAATGAAAAAGTATATAGTTTAATAGTCAGAGTCTATTAAAAGCTTAAGATTGGATGGTCTATTATTTGGAATTTTTCTTTCTGTTAGTCATAGACACAAAATAAACATTTCTATTAGGAAACCAAGAGTAAAAACATCTCATTGTAGATAATTAATGTAAAGCAGTTTCCTTTTCCAGGTGGCCTCCCCGCTTCCCTTACACAGCTCAGAGGTGGAAATAGTGGTCACCCTGGGTAATCTCAGTAACTGTATATTTGAGGGTTTTGGAATGGGGACCAGGTGGTTCACAGAGAATTCCACATTGAACTGATAGCTCTTTGTATGTATTAAGCAATGTAGTAGTTGAGCTTCATATTTTCCTCAAATAAGTGAAGAAAGTTAGCTAAATTTCTCAACTGAGATTAGCCAAAATAAAACTCTTCAGGCATACAGAGGAGAGCCTGTTTCACAGTGGAGTTCCTTTGGTTCTTCATTCACTAAACTGAGTTGAAAGGAACCCAGTAAGACTGATTTTAAACCAAAATTGACTGTAGATACTAGAGTAGTCAAATGTATTTAATGGGAAATAATATTTATTTAATATTTGGAAATGGGGTAATTCTTGTAAGTACTTCTGTTGTCTAGATATAAATGAGTGCCCCCATATAGAGACTTCTGTGCTACTTTTTCTGTTACAAAAATTGCTAACATCAGTTCTTACTCTCACTGGAACTGAATTTGGATGGAGGGATTTTCCTGCACTGTCCATCCTAGTTTTTCTTTAAAAAATACTTTTTTATCTTAAACTTTTGTGGGCTTTAGTTTTTCTGTTGGATTTAAAAGAAATACCTGAAGTTCTTAAACTTGAATTCCACATTTTTGATCTCTTTTAAATATGCAGCCCTTCATGATAGGAGTTAAAACACGAATAATTTGCACGTTTTCAGAAGAAACATGTATGTTGTATTCTGTATGTCCTTCCAGTGTCTACGCTAACAAATAATCAGGAGAAAAATTAAAAATAATCACTTCCAGGAAGTAATTTTTAAAAATTTTAATGTAGATGGCAAAGAGAAAAGGTAGTGGGTACAAAGAAAGCAAGTGGGATGGGTCGTGTTTTTTTTGTTAGTACTGATAGCAGATGTGTGGTCAAAGTGTGCCATAACTTGAAAGTGAAATTTAAGCTGTTGTAAAGGAGCATTCTTCATGGGGTCACGAGATGGTACCTGCAGTTGGATGCCCAGTGACTCCTCAATTTTGTAGACCCAGATGTACCCTAGACATCTAGTCATCCATCACCTCAAACTTGTATTGGAAATCTGGAGATCCCCCGAATGCTGTTTTGCATGTAATTGAAGTTAGAGGACATGTTAGGAAAAGCTGTTCTTGACTGAGTAGAAAACAAATAATTGTATTCTGTTTCTGATCTTCATTTATAGCACCAGCAACAAGTGGTGCAGGCTGTGGAACGGGCCAAGCAGGTGACCATGGCAGAACTGAACGCCATCATTGGGGTACGTGGCCTTTCCATTTTAGCTCTGAACTTCTGAACTTAGTGTTTGTCATCGGCTCTCTCGCTCTTTCTTTTTACATTTTGTTCTGCCAAAGGGGCAAAAAGCAATAGATGACTACAAAATGAAATTAAGCACTTTGCCTTCAATCTCCTGTGAAATTTGATGGCTGCCTCAGAAATGCTGGATCACATTCTCACCAATTTAAGTTGATGTGTTCATGAAAACTCTCCTCCAAGGAGACTAGATAGCTCTTTTTCATAATATTTCTTTTCTTTGCAGTCAGCTTCTGTAGCTAACCTAGGCCAAAAAAAGAGACATAGATTGCCCTGATGTTAAAATGACCTGGTTTCTTTTCTCTTTGCTCAAATAATCACACAGAATATCTTACTGTCGTTTTCAGTGAGATGTGTTTTCACATCTCCCCCTCTACTTACTCTTCTTCCCCCTGTCATGAGTGGCTCTTACGGCTTAGTGTTCATTTGAAGTAGAAATAGTAGATGAATTACACTTTTTAAAAAAATCAGTGGCCAATTTAGAAAATACTTCTTGGCAATAGTGGCATTAATGTTGCATAGAAATTGTGCTGGAATTCATGGGTTTGGGCAGTCACTTCAACTCTGCTTATGTATATATATTTTTTCTCAGATTAATGTAGCAGGTAATAAAATTATGTGCTGAAACTTAGAAATAATAATAAAGGCGAGAAATTGTAGCTGTAAAGAGCATCATATTCACCTCTCTGTTTATGCTGATTGTACAAGCAGTTCCTTGGGTTATTCTAATGGAGACACTACAACTGTATTTTCCTCTTTCTGTCCCCTCCCAAATACTTTTGTGTATAGATTATACACAAAAGTCTTTTTTTTTTTCCTGTCAGTGTATCAAACACACTTTGAAATGCTAATTATTTCATTTACTTTCATTAAAATTCAAATTGCTGAGTGA